GCATCATTCCAACACCATGCGGGTTGGTCTAATGAAGAACTGCCTATTATTCCCAACAATCCGCCCTTCCCACGTAATACCCACCTCGTATGCTCCTACCCTATAACCAAATTGGAAGCGATCAAACAACCATGGCAGTGGTAGGAATATCAAACAAGTCTAACCCACGTTGAACGAAGTCCACTATCAAAATTGATATAACACCTAAGAAACGGATCTAGGAAGACAGCCTGTCACCAAAAGGAAGCTATGGACCTTGACTCGATGACGCTGATAGACCAGGGATTCCTCAATACATTTGTCAGTGTTAAAGACATATTCCAAGAGTGAATCGCGTAGGATTTGTAGATAAGCAGTATGAGAGATTTGTTTCGGGGTCTCTAGGCTTACTTCCCCCTTCCAACTTGAATTCAAATATTCAGCTATGAGATGCCAAGAACGGATTTTATGAAATGGAGTAAAATAACCTCTCATAAAGAACTGAAGCACACCTAAACCTATCCTCTAATGACGTAGCACGCAACGGGTTGCGAAAATAAGAAGCGCAACAACGAAAGGACCTGCTCGCCAAAACAGCGTGCAGCCAAATAGTTAGGAAGACGAGGTTTTAGATATTGCGGGGATCTGCTTAACACCTAGAGCAAACAAATTCAAAACCTATTACATGTGGATCTTCGACAGGCTACCCTTAGGAGGTTAACAAAAGCATAACTTTGGGATTAGGACCTGTCTTCTGGCAAAACCCTATCAAAAAAATTAGAGGCGACACTCTAGATAGCAGCTGCAAAAGCACAGCCTAATACGTTTGCTACTATGACCTATCTGTCAGAAAAATTCATAGCGACAATCTATTCATTGGTTTTGTTCACTAATCGCATCAATTGAGATTAATTGTTCGCACCGGTTCAATTCCTGCTCGAAAACCAAAAAATATTGGCCTTTATCAACTTAATTGTTTTAAATGTAAGCAATCTTTTGCAAAGCGTAATCTTTATCTATGGCAGTCATCATAAGCCGCTTAGAACACAAGTCACATATAGGTGAGATGTGAAAAACAAATAGTTGTAATGAGGGGCGTGAAGACCAATTTGTAGCAGTATTACTAAAATCAGAAGACACTGACATATGTAGGACTGCAACCCATTGTCCAGTGGAACCGAGGCAGGTGCAAAAGTGGGAAGTGAACGAAAATTTTTGTATTCCATTTAGTGGGTGCGTCTGTGTTCCGCCACAAGAGTGACCGAATTCAAACGCTGAATACTGTTGATTGAAGGCATGACCTTTGCAATGAGCCACACACCCTCCAGATACAACAGGTCGGTACTCGTGATGTTCTGGTCCCGAAGGACAGGTAACTTCCAGTAGGTGAGCTACCAGGGAATAGACGCTTGCTTCAAATTCCACTGAAGGCGCATTTATCCTAGGGCACTCCGCAGTGACCTGGCAGACTAAGTGCAAGCCACCT